TGGAATCTGCCCTTAGATTATTCTGCCTCTGAATTCAGTTGAAGTAAATTGGGCAAGAAAGGAGTCCTACTACCCAGGAAAGAAGCTAAACAATTCTGGTTCAATCCATTTTCTCCTGGTCTTCTTCAGACTGAGGTGATTAATTTTGTAATGGTATAGTAGTGCATTTTTATAATCACAGCTACTTGGGAGGCTGAGATCAGGAGGATCATAGTTTGAGGCCAGCCCAACCAAAAACGTTAGCTAGATCCCATCTCAGTTAGCTAGATCCCATCTCAGTAAACAAGCCAGGCATAGTGGTACATGCCTGTAATCTCAGCTAAATGGTAGGCATAGGTAGGAGAATTGTGGTCCAACGTCAACCCCAGGCAAAAACCAAGCCCCTATGTGAAAAATAACTAAAAAATAAAGGAGCTGGTGGGAGTATGACTCAAGTGGTAGAGTACCTGCCTAGCGAGCATGAGACCTTGAGTTCAAACCCCAGTACTGCCCAAACAACAAAAACAACCACAACAACAAAAACTGTATGGAGTTACTATACTCTCCCTATTCTAATAAGATTGCAGTAAGGTTGAAAGTCAGACTTACTAAGGGTGTAATTTCCTCTTAAAGACATCAGCCTAGGGACAACAGTGATCTAGCAGTTAACATTTTTATCATTTATTGAGATCAAAATTTTCCTTTGGGATATATTTATGATTTTTTAATATTAAAGTTCCTTTTCAAGGGATTTATACTTAACAATTTGTGTAATAACATATGTATTCCATTTGAAGTTATCTTGGTGACCTTTCTAGGACTTTTTAGCTCCCTCATAGATTTTAATAAACCAAGAAATCGAGGGAGCAGTCCCTCAGTTGCACTGGGCAGACACTGGGCAGTTATGAATGATTTCAGCTCATCTGAAATCTGTGAACATTTAAAGAGATGGTCTTCTTCCTCTACAGGTTGCATATGGACTGGAGAGGCCTTCCGTCTATTCATGTGTTTCAGTGCCTAATCACACCCTCCTAATAATGGATGTCTTCTGACTTGGGGTAGCAGCACTGAAGTCAAAGACATATTAATGAGGTCTAGACTCTGAAGCACTTCCAAAACTGTGATACCACATGACTAAGACTGAATATAAACCAAGGTTATGTCAGAGACATCCCTTGTGTGAACAAGGTTGGCTGTCTTATTTAGTCAGCATGGGCTGCCATAACAAAATACCACAATCTGTATGGCTTAATTAACAGGTTTATTTTCTCAAAGTCCTGAAGGCTAGAAGTCCAAAATCATGGTGTCAGCGGGATTGGTTTCTCCTGAAGCCCCTCTCGGCTTGGCTCTCTTCTCTCTGTGTGCTCATATGGCCTTTCCTCTTTGCCTGTGCACTGCTGGTTTCTCTTCCAGTCCTGGATACGGCCCCAATATTAAGAGCACCACCACACCTGGCTGGTAATGAAGGTTTAGTAAGATTTTAAGATTTTCTTCCTTTCTCCCTTCCCTCCCCGCCTCTCCTCTTCTCTTTGCTTTCCAAGATAAGAGGCTTAGAAAGTGAGGTAATGTCTGTAAGCCACACAGAGTCAGGGCCTGAACCCATTTGTCACATGTCAGACCCATACTTATTACTTCTTAGGTTGATCCTCACTGATCACATACCAGAACTAATACACTACTCAGAAGAGATTTGTGACCTCAACAGGAGTCTCAGCAACAGACTTTCACAGTGTCCTTCCAGCTGAGGGTAGACAGAACTAACTTCCCCTTGGAAAGGGTGTACCACGAGTGGAAAAGGCCCCACCTGCTCCAAGTGCAGGGCCCAGAGAAGCAGCCTCAACATCCCTGGAACTGGTTACAAATGCGAGGGATCTGGACCTGAATGGAAGCTCTGGAGGGGCAACTTTCCATTTTAACAAACCCTCAGGGGGTTTCTGATGCATCTAGTGTGAGAAGCACTGCCTGAGAAAAGAGCAGCCAAAGTTAAGAAAAGAACAGGAAGGTAGAACAGATGGCAGAGCACCTGAGTCTTCAGGGCAGCCTAGGGCTGAGGTGGTAGAAGCTGAGGTGAGGAGACGCAGGACCTTGAAGTTGGTTTGTAACTAGTCCTCACTGTTCTTAGGGAGAAGGGAGCTGATGTGGGTAAGACAGGCCCACAGGGCTAGCTGAAGCTGTGTGACATTCTGGAGTTGTCATGGGCCGAGTCTGTGTGTTATGGAGGGAGGTTGGAACAACACAGAGGTTTCTGGGGATTTCTTCTCTGGTTAAGAAGAGCATGTAAATGAAATCTAATTTGTGGAAAGTCTTTTCTGTCTTAAACATCCTTGTGTTCAAATTTTGATTTAATTTCCCCTCTGTAGACATACAGTGATTTAAAAAAAAAGTTGTTATATATAATGGCCATCAAATACATATATGGTATTTCTGTGTTCTGAGTGTTCTTCATATAAAAATGAACTTAGCCCTCAGGGCAACAAGGTAAAATAGGCAATTTATAAATAAGGAATCTGAGATGTGGAAAGTTTTAGTAACATTTCTAAGCTAATAAGTGGTGGCGTTAAAAGTCAAACCTAAGTAGTCTCCTCGATGTTAAATTATGTTCCCACTGCCTCCCAAACTGGAAATTTTTATGAACTAAAATTAAAGACCTACTTTACATCAATCACATTCTTCGTAGTACTTGATATTTATATTGCAGCACTCATGAATATCTTTTCACTGTAGTCAGATTGTGGCCTTTGAGGTCAGGAGCCATTTTTTTCCCTGTTATTTTTCATTCTTATAATGCCCAGATAAGCTTGTTAAGGAACTTTTGAATAAATGAATGAACCAAACTGGTTCTTTAATTCACTGTGTGCCTCTTTAAGTGTCTAAGGAAAGGACAGTCAGAGTCCTATATTACCTGATCTAGAAGTTCTTAGTATCAGAACCAAGGTCCTTTCTTGATTGTAGAGCCAGATGTGCTGTTTAAAGAATTTAATCCTTTTGTTCACAAATATGAAGCCATAAAGCTAGAACTAAAATTCAAACTCTGCAATGTCTTATGATATGTAATATTTTAAAAAGCAGATTTACCATTGTCTCATTCTGGGTAATCAGAGATGTTCGGAAGTAGTAATTAGTGAGTAGTTACAATCAGGCACCTGCTAGGTGCGTTGCAAATCTTTGTCAATTTAATTCCCAACATAGTCACCCAAGACACATACTGTCTTGATTTAAGAGATGAAATTTGGGGCTCAAGTGCTAGAGTGCCTGCCTAGCAAGTGTGAGGCCCTGAGTTCAACACATAGTACTGCCAAAATTAGGGGGAGGAGGGGAAGGGGAGAAAGAGAAAGAGATGAAATTTGTCCTGAAAAGTTAGGTCACTTGGGCTTCTGTTGGCTTCTGAGAATATGGCTTTCGCTCATTGCTGCTTCTAGTGTGGGGCCACTTCACCTTTTCTCAGATTAACCTTGTGGCTATGTAGTGTGTTCTGCGGTGTGCAGCACACATGTAGCACGCTAGCGGTCCATCTCATAGTGCAGGCTGAGCTTCTAAGGTAGGTGAAGTTATAGACTGTGGAACTGCTAAGCAGTCCTGATAAGAGGTCATTCCATTCCTTTGGATCCTTACCTGAAGGCTGGTTGGGTGGTTTTCTAATTTGATTTTCATGGCCAGCAGTGCGCTACAATGTCACATCCTTTCTAGTTTCAGTAGCTTTGCCTTTATGTATCTTAGTTTCTGGATTGCTGTCCAATACAAGCCAACATTTTGAATCAATTCTGAGTTTCCCCAGTGAATTCATAATAGTAAAAATACTTTGTCATATAAACAATCCATGTACAGCACCCTCCCAGCCACTGGTGTTCCAGCTCAGAACTGAAGAAGGTGGAAGGAATCCAAGCCCCAACTTGTTTCCCCTCCTACCCCTGGGTTGATTTTTTCTGCACCCTGTGACAGCAGTAGTTTAACTTGAGATGAGCAAAGAAAAATTGAAATAGAAAAGAGGGGTGGGGACCATAGCAAAATGGTACACTTCCCTACCTATGTGCCTATTTACATAATTGTGTTGTTATAACATTTCCTGTACTTTTCTGTAAGCTGATGCTGCCCTAATTATAGATTTTCAAGAGAACATTTCATTGTACCCCGAATTACATAGTGCTTTTTTGAAAAGGTACCTTCTTACTGGTTTACCAAATACCTTATAAACTTGTAATTACATAAAACAATTCAGGATGCAGAATAGAAAGAGCCTGTACTGTTAACAGATGTTGGTATTGTTACATTAATTACGAGGCTTTCAAAGATCTATAATATTTTTCTTGTGTAAAACGAAAAAAAAGACTTATTGTAGTCATAACCTGTCACTCAGACTCCTGATCAAACAGAATGTACATGTTTTGCTTTGTGAGTTCTGTACAGTTCATTGTAAATGGACTTGGCTTTGTGCATGTGAAAGTGCCATTTACTTCAGCAGATTGCTTTTGTGGCCTGTGTACCTACTTGTTAGACAGCCTGTGGGCACCTGGGCCTGGCAGAGGCTGGACCCCTCCGTCATCTGTGCACCTGTGCACAGCAGCCCCCCAGCACTAAGCACTGGGAAGCTCACCATCCTGGCTTCTTCTGAAGCCCACAGGGGACTTCTCAGTGCTCCCTTCTACCAGAAGCCTAGGAACAGGGCCAGCTTCATGGACCAAGGCTTTTTTGCTTCTCCATTCTGCGTCTCTCTTAAGACACAGGTGATTCTAATGACAAGGCAAGTGGCCTCAGTGAGGCACAGGAAAGAAATATTTCTGAGTGTGTGCTCATCCACTTTAATTTTCAGCACTATTGTGTTATATGTCTTAGGACAGTAGAACAAGATGGAGGCTTGTGATTACAAAAACAAAACAGAAAAAAATTAGACTAGAGGGTTCGTTTTGTGTGCGTGTGTGTGGTACTGGGGTTTGAACACAGGGCCTACACCTTGATCCACTCTATCAGCCATTTTTGTGAGGTTTTTTTTTTTTT